GATTAGGGGCCGTAGTGCGATTACCAGTGAGATTACCAGAACGTCCCAAACTTCAGATTGAAGGGTGGCAGTTTCTGCGCTTGTACTTCAGTGAAATATCGTGGTTACACTGCGCCACGATTCGTCTTGATCACTCCAGATGAATCAAATATTCACCAAAGTCAAGTAACTTGGTTTCAAGTCTACCGATTGCTATCATCCTGTGGACCACACAGTTTGATTTTGAAGTTCATCATTACACACATTCGACCACACTGGACTTATTGCACCTCTGTAATTTTTCGAGACCTACTGCTTGGCAAGTCACTGAAGCATATGTTTCGCTGCAGATGTATTCCAAAGCCAGTTTTGACGAAAAAGTGTACCCACACACATTAATTCATGCACTAAACGTGATTCAAAGTCACTCACTGACATTAGCCACCCTCTTCGCATCGCACATTCTGACTGTATTTCTATCTCATCGGCCGGACAAAAACAAAGAGCCATATATGTCCGCTCGAAGGCATTTGGTTCGTCCGTCATTCCCCGTTTAACCAGCTTTCTATTTGTGCCATATGCTGAGGCGGATGTTGCATTCATGATGCCTCCCCACCGCAGCGGAGCTAAATCAACTTACAATTAAACTAGGTCCTTTAAGCTGGATAAATTTCATTCCAATTTCATTGGTTTGCTCTGCCGGCCTGAATAATCTTCTATTAACTTGCACACGCTGTTTACGCTAATTGCGCTTATCTTCGGTAATTGAATTGTGTTTGTAGCATATTTAAGTAACTAGTAGACATTTTGCACTCATCGCAAATTCCCTGTTAACCACCTTACTTTATATGCGAATTTAGGGAAGAGTTGCGTCTGCATAGCTTTAACAGATATACTTTATTTGATAATGTTATTTCAAGTGATTGACTGTTGCTTCATATCCCCGGTGTGGCTGTGCTTGATGTCTAGTACCTACAACCTCGTCCATACTGGCTCCAAGAGACAGTTGAACGTTGCTGGAGGGGACGGGGTGCACGGCCCTCGTGGCCGTGCTAGGATCAAAGAGTGCTTTGTTTACACACAGCGCGGATGAGTTGCGGCACATGACTAGTGCTTTAGATTCGACAGCGGCCAGATTCGAGCTCACCATCAACACAAGCAAAACGTCCGTCTATTTCAGCCTTCACCGGAAGTGCAATCTGCAATATTGCCGCGAATCAGCATTGGTGCTGAAGTATTGGAAACCACCTCCCGCTTCTGCTACCTTGGGAGTGTGATGTCGACTGATCAGCAGTTACACAGTGAGCTTGGTATCCGTGTCTGGAAGGCAACGGCGACATTCAGGAAACTTGAGTACCGAGTGTGAAACAACTATCAGCTTACCATTGGCACGAATCCGCTGGTGTACATACCCATTGTGCTGTCCGTTCTTCTACACGGCAGGGAAACGTAGACGCTGTACCAGCGGGATGTGCGATATCACGAGCGGTTCCATCAGCAGTGTTTGCGACGGATTCTACGCATCGGTTGGTGAGAGAGTTGTGGGCACGGGGGTGTTGCGCCCAAGTGGAATGTATGCAGTGGACTGCATACTTTTACTGCGACACCTGCGCTCGCTCGATCATGATTGGTGTATGGCTTCGACGCGGATACCGAAGCAGCTATGAAATGGTCATCTGAGTTTGGGGAAGCAGCATGTGAGGAAACGGAATTTGCGCTACCAGGACATGGACAAAGTGAGCCTATCACGTTCTAATCTTGATTGCAGATCATGGGGATTGAAGGTGTTTGATCGGCGTGAATGGCGCGATCTGATCACGAAGGCAGTTGCCAAGGTGCAGGAGAAAGCGCTCATGTATGCGGAGAAAAAGTGGTAAGTACGGAAGTGGCTGGCACAGATGGGTTGTACTCATTCGTTATCGAGCGCATAGTGCTGAAGCACATGCGGTCACGAGTGCCTGAGTCAGGCAGGCTTAGTGAGCCATGAGTGAGGCCACACTGTGCCACCACAGACATGAAGATGATTGCTGCAGGGAAAGTAGACAGAACCGGCGTAGCGTTGGTAGGTACGTTGTTTTCGTTTTACTGACCGCGCGCTTACATTCGGTGTCTCATTATTTCAGTTGGTGGGTTTGCTATTCTGTCCTTATGCTTTTTTTCTCCCATATTATTGTCTACCTGAACTATCTTCTTTAAATTTACACACGTCGCTTGAGCTAATTGTAGTTAACCTCGAAAACCATTTCGTATTTGCGACGTTTTCTTAAACCCTCGCGGATTTGTTGACAAGCAATTCATTTCATATGCTTTATTATGGAACAGTTATAGCAGTATATCTGCATGTATTATTCGATTTATTATCTTTGATCTCGTCGTCTCAACTAGTTGGCGATCGCTTGATATCCCCGGTGTGACTGTGCTTGATGTGCATGTTGACAAGGTGCCTACCTGTCTATTACCCACTACTTCCTTCATACTGGCTCTAGAAGACAGCTGATCTTTGCTGGAGGGGACGGGGTGCACGGTCCTTGTGGCCGTGCTAGGCTCGAAGGGGGGTTCCATGCACACAGTGTGGAGTGGACTACGGTCTAGCCATCGCCTTGTGTGCGCTTGATTCCCCAAATACAGCATGCTTGTGTTTGCCTGTGAAGGAGTGTGGGCCGGCTCCGTTGAGGAAACTTGGCACCCATCCACATGCCTCCCGGTTATATTCCTGCGGGTTTACACTGGATATGGGGTGTGTCGTTGGAGCTGTGGTTGGTGCAGCGTAAGCCATTCGTGGTCCCTCTGTAAGGGCAGGCGTCCTGTTGCTGGTCACAGTGACAGACAGATCCGAAAGCGTATCCCGCCAAACATATTCATATGGCACGGAAATCGAGGTGGTCCAGTGCAATTATGGTCGGGTTGCCACTTATTCTGAGAAGTGTTTGCTTGTATTTCTGACTACTTAAATGTTCTTAAGTAGTAAAAATCGACGTTGTTCTTCAACGTCAGCGCTAGTCAGGCGCGGGATGTCCGTGGATGTAAGGTAGTATGCGTTTATATACCAGTAAGGTGTATACCTGTCCATTACCCACTAGCTCGTCCATAATAGCTCTAGAAGATAGTTGGTCATTGCTGGAGGGGACGGGGTGCGCGGTCTTTGTGGCCGCGCTAGTCTCGAAGTGTGGTTCCATGCACCCATTTTGGAGCGGACTACGGTCCAGCCAACGCCTTGTGTGCGCTTGATTCCGAAATACAGCGTGTTTGTGTTTACCGGTGAAGGATTGTAGGACGGCTCCGTTGATGAAACGTGACTCCCATCCACATTCCTCCCGGTCTTATTACTTCCGGTTTACGCTGGATATGTGGTGTGTGGTTGGAGCCGTGGGTGGTGCATCGCAAGCTACCCATGGTCCCACTGTAGGCGCATGCGTTCTGTGGCTGGCCGTAGTAACAGGGACATCCGAAACCGGATGCCGCCAAGCATATATTTAAGGAGAGTGGTAAAGTCCTATACGAATAATTTATTACGTTTTGGTGAGATTCGTCGCAGCTAGATTTAGTTAGACAGTTAGTATACATCCAAGAATGCACCAAAGCATTTTTCGAGATGTGAAGTGACTGTCTGGATAAGTCAAACCTCGACAAATCTTCTAAGTTTACACATCTGTTGAGACAGATATGCAAGGGAGATCGTCCCATCAAAATGAGGCGGATCTATCACCTTCGTAATACACAGAGGCAAAGATTGCGTTCCCTTTAACCATTTCGTCAAAGCAAAGGGAAGACGTAAGTTGTGATGTTAACATTTCGATTATTTCTCACAACCGCAAGCACAGTACAAGCAGAAACACAATTAGTTATATACATGGAAAGATAAGCAACATCAAACAAAATGTCACTGTCAAGACCAAGTAAACCGAATTGAATACCACAAGAGTTTCTGTGCACATAGCAGAGATCGATGGGCCTTAATCAGTAACGCTTCACGAAATGCTAGCAATATCGAGTTATGTTGCGCATTGACACTTTGAACGCGGCGCCTTGTGTGCTCTTGATTCCCAACTGCAGCGTGTAGTGTTTGCGTGTGAAGGAGTGTGGACCGGCTCCATGGATGAAACCTGGCTCCCATCCACATGCCTCCAGGTCTTATTCCTTCGGGTTTACACTGGATGTGGGATGTGTGGTTAGGGCTGTGGGTGGTGCGGCGCAAGCCATCCATGGTCCCTCTGTAGGCGCAGGCCTCCTGTGGCTGTCCACAGTGGCAGACAAATCCGAAAGCGGATGCTGGCAACCATTTGACCAAAACGCTATTATTCCACAACTGATCGGTACATTCTGCCAGAGAGGCTATATTTCTGACTGAGATTTGCCTTTTGCTGTTGTTCTGCCGCCTTTGAATTGTTTCTGTTCGTCATATCGGTGGCATGTGTCACAACTGAAAATTCACCCATCACGGGTGCATAAAAGTACATTCTGGACTTGTTTTAACTTGACGAGGCAGCTTCAATATGAACTTCCTACTCAATCCGTGATTATTTTGGCTGACCCTACGCGTGACTTAGTGGTTTAAGTGAAAGGGCTTTGACTGGGGTGTAGAAGGTCCCTAGTTCGAGTTGCAGTTGTGCAGAAAGACAGAACAACATCTACATTTATCAGTCTCAGATGCGACCTCAGTGACTGTATTGACGAAAGTGGACCACGCTGCTGATGGAAAATGCGTATTGCAAACCATTCACGGAACGAATGCTCCAAAATGATTACCGGCTGATTCCTGGAACAATCTCCTAGTGGTGCTAGTTGGGTAGTTCTGCTTTAGCCCATTCCCGCACATAGTTTGGCTGTAGAGTTAAAGTAGGTGGCAGATTTTATCCGGGTAAGTAATCTTCATCTAAAAAACTACAAATATCTGTTTAACAATACTGCAACGCGATTGATGTGACTCAACACTAAGTAAAGTCGCTCAAACCCATTCTTGAGAACGACATTTTTCGAGTAGTATGGTAAGAAGTAGTTAAATGACTTCGTTCGAGACTCACCACAACCTTCTTCTTTTCCCGATCTAACTCTGCTCGCAACTCTTCTATCCGACTTGCCTGTTTCTTCAGTATAAGATCATCTGGCACGACAATGTTCTGCTTCTCTTCGAGTTCCCTCTCCAGCACAAAAATACGGTGTTGCAATTCCTTGATTTTGCGTTGTCCCGCCTCGCACTGATTCGTCTTTTCGCGTAACCTGATCTGTAGGGAACGCACGTCGGCGGTTAACCTGTCCACAATGCGGGGGAGGTCCGCTTCATGTCCAATCGCCTAAAAACAAAGGATGCGCACTTATGTTTTACGTCATGGCCAGAGATGTGATTTATTGAAAGTGACTACTTTAGACGGCTAGGTTGGGAAGGGAAGAGAGGTTCTAAAGTGCAATTCATTTTCTGGCGCTTAACCAAGACAAATACCTGATCCCGGAATGTTCCAGAGCTATTAGCAATATTGTGAAGCTGAAATTTACAGATAAATCTGAAGAAGTGAGCGACTGACATGCACTTGAGCAAATATTGTGTCGGAGTCCCTCGACTTCTTTCCACCCCCTAATGGTAGTGAGAACACCAACGGCCAGGGATAAGGATTTAAAACGTAGTACCACTAAGCATGTAACGCACGCTTCCGAGACAAGTAATCTCAGCAAGCAGAAGACGTCTGAACAGCAGGAGGTTTACCAATCAATTGCGAAGGTACAAGATTCACGGAAACGCACCGCGAGACCGGTGTGTGTGTGTGTGTGTCAGATGATTGGCTAGCTGGTGTGAGTGGTAACCAATCCGCGCACAGCTGAAGTAAACGGATCAGTCATTCGCGTACGTGACAGGATTCAAGGATTCTTTTACATAGGGAAACCATTTCGTTGTGTAGCATAAGGCACAATCATGAAAACCAACCAGAGTACTGTTGTAGCGTCCATCTCAACTTCCAGTCATGTCTGTCACGCCACACACACAGCTTGTAAATGATTGGATGAGCTTCATCAATGGATCCATATTAAGATCATTCCGCCAGTATCTTATCTGTCACACGTTTTCGAATACACTGTCCACAGCGTGTCCGTCCCTTGTTCTGTTTTCGTTAGTGGGTTCGGCCTTAGCGATTCAAGACTTTGCTTGCACAGGGGCCTAGTGTGCGTATTGAGATACATCAGTGATGTCGCGGCTACGAACTGCTACAATGGCCTTCCATCTTTCACCTCCGGACGCATTCTGGTCTAATTCAAGTGTCAAACCTACTGAGAGTGACAGGGCTCAATGGAAAAGATCCTTCACAAATTACATGGACTTACTACCGTCAACTGCTACTTATAACGGGGTTCAAAAGTTGAAACTTTGCCGTCACGTGTTAGGGAATGAGAGCCAACGTTACTTTGATGCACTGGAACTACAAAAAGTGGACAAGCTCACAAAGGCGTTGGATGTACTGGGTGGATCTTGGGGCGCCCAACCTAATGTTGTTTTGTACGGCACAAATTCTGTCGTTTACGACAAGAGGACTCAGAGTCCACCAAACACTGTTTCCCGTTTGATCCATGCGGTAAAAACATGCGCTTATTCCAGCGTTCGAAAGAATAGAGTTGAAGGGGTTCTATCGATTCAACAATTAATAGTCGGCATCACGGATCATCACATACGGGGAACATTACTTCTGGAAGACCCCTCGAAGCTTTCCTGGGATAGAATCATAGAGATCGCTAGCCTCAAAACAACTGTCTTTGAGCAGTCGTGTCTGGGCAGCACCAAAAAATCACTCGATATCAGCAATCATCGGAGCACGAATTCTACGCCATTTTAAAATGTGACTGTTTTGTGCTTCCGATGTGGAAGTTCTCGATACAAAGCAGCTTATCAAACGTGTCCGGCCCGTACAGTAGACTGAAAAAACTGCGGTAAGCGGGGCCAATTTGCCCGGTATTGTCGCTCCAGCCGCGTAGTACTAGTTGAGCAACCATCGACTGACTGAGTCACCTACTGCGTCTGCTACGGAAATTAATTTTACCGTCCGAAAACCATCAGCCAGACAATCGGGGAACATTCTTGATGGAGTCCAAGCTCTCTTCTCCTGACATTCGTACAGTTCCGCTCCATGGCCCCCGCACCACTGGGCCAGTTGCGATGCAATTAGATTCAGCATCGCCAATGACGATCATTCCATTTAGCATTTATGACAAGTACGTGACATTCCATTGCCTCCACCTTCGTACAAGTTTGACTCATACATCAATGCCCCTGTGTGCATCCGTGGGCATATAGTCATTGAACTTAGTCTGCAGTCAGTCGCATCCGAGGTTGCTGTGTACGTGGCACCTAAAGACAGCCCATCCCCGCTGGGGCGAAATGCAATCGTCGCTCCTAACGCTATCTGTCGATCAAATGCCCATCATGGCACTGAATGCATCAGTGCTTAAAGGTTTACACGCCAAATTATTTACTGAAACTATTGGCCGGATTCCACTTGCCGCTCATCGCATATACCTTAAACAGGACGCGAAGCCGTTTTCAATATGGCAGCGACATTCCATTTCGTTGGCGAAATGTGCGGTGGTAAAAAAACCATACAGGAAATGATATCGAACAATCTGGTAGAGCCAATTAACTGTTCCGAATTGGGCACCGCTTGGTCACGGTTTTAAAGAAGGATGATACTGTACGCATATGCAATGACTTGAAGGCGTTGAATAGTCAGCTAGTCGTGGAAAAGTTCCTGCTTTCCACGGTTGATACGTTGGTAGTCAAGACAATTGGTGAACGATTTTTCGCAAGATTAGGCCTGCAAAGGGTTTTTTACATGATATTGACAAATGCATTGGGACCACCAACGGCTTTTCTGACATCGAGCAATCTGTTCCAAAAAAAAGGTTTGTCAAGGAGGCTCAGCTCTGCTCCTGCAGCTTGGCAGAAGATCATGCGGCACTCGCTAGCAGACCCACAGAGACAATTTATTTACATAGCTATGTTTGCGTTTTAGGGCCTTCAAGAGCAGAGCACGACTGAAGGCTACGCGCTTAGATCTTAGTTTAGATCTTCGGCTTAACCTTGAAAAGCTTACCCATTTGTGCCACTGAAATCGAACTTCTTGGGTACATCTTATCATCCGGTGGAATCCGACAATTTGCCGCTAATACTCGGGGTATCACAGAAGCCACCACACGGAAGAATGTATCTGAGGTTAAGCATTTTCTTGGACTATGCTCGTACAACTTACGCTGTTTGCCCGATTTTGCTACCCTAGCGGAGTCCTTGAGGATGCTGACAAAGAAGAATGACACCTTCGACTGGGACTCTGAACAGCTGCCTGCCTTTGAAAAAATTAAAAAACGCCTCCGCTCTACATCGATACTGGGCAGTTTCAAGGAAAACTGCCCTACTTTCGTCTCGACGGATGTGTCAAACATCGGTTTAGTAGTGGTCGTGTCCCAGATGCACAACGGTGAGGAAAAAGTGATTGTATGTACCTTTAGGAAGTTATTCCCTACAGAGGTTTCATACTCAGCCGGTGAAATAGAGGCCCTCGCCCGGGTCTGCGCCTGTGATATATGAGACCTATTCCTGTTTGCTCAGAGATTTACATTGCTTACAGATCCCGCTGCTCTAACTATCCTCTTCAGTCGAGGAACCAACGGTCACTAGGCACTGCGAATTAACCGCTGGTATGCGCGTTTACTGAACTATAATTTTAAAAACACATACCGCCCTAGCTCCGCAAACCATATGGCTGATAGCCTATCACGCCCACCAGTAGACGATTCCGATAAGAATGAGGACGACGAAGAAAAAGTCATGGTTAGCGCTTTACATTCAAGTGAAATTTCGTCGTACTTAAGCAAGAGATTCAAGAAGCTAATCAAGGTGACCCAAATGTACCAGCCGTTTTCCGATAAGTCTCTCAAGGCTTGCATCGTTACACGAAGCTCAGTTGTGAACTACGGGCGTTTTATGTTTTACGCCACGAGTTAGCGGTCATTGATGGTGGCTTTATGCAAGGATGAAGATTCATGGCTCCGCAGAGACGAACGTCAAAAATTATCCTATGTGCACACGAGGGACATCCGGGTTTCGTACGAACGAAGCGCCGACTGCAGGAACACATTTGGTGGCCGAAAGTGACTAAAATGACAGAGGCGTGTGCCCTGTCATACGACGCGTGTCAGAACGACGACAAGAGCTCTAAGCCGACCGATGTACCCATCCAACCAATCATTTATCCAATGTAACCTTGGTCGAAGGTGGCGATTGATATCATGGGACCACCATTCTGCACCGCAAGATCAGAGAAACTGTTTAGTGGACACGTGCTTTTAAATTAAGTAGCCTGAGATTCACCTTTGTGGTGATGTGAGCATTTCCACTGTTATAAGGTGGCTGAAGCATTTGTTTTCTAGGTTTGGGCTTCTCGAACAAATTGGGACGGACACAGGACCGCAATTCACAAACTAAGAGTTCCGACCTTTCCTACAACTTCACGCTATGAAACACATACGAACTATCGCGTACCATCTAGTTACCAACGCAAGGATTGAGTGCGCAAATCGCTTCCTACAGGAAAGTATACCGACAGGTTTATCCGGCATGCATTGGGAAGACACCGTAGTCGAGGCTCTGTTTAACCGCTGAATCTCGCACCACAGAGCGACTGATCGCACGCAAGGGGAGCTAATGTTCGGAAGGAAGCTACGCACGAAGTTAAACACAGCTATTTTGGCTACGGAAAACAGCGATTCCCACCAAAAGAGCGTCGCCGACGTTAGCATTCCTCTTACGAAAAGCAATCCATACGGTTGTGTCCCGGAAAGTTAGTCTAGCTAAAGGCAAAACAGACGCGTAAAGAAAAGCGAGCATTATCGCACCCCATCAGAATTACTCGGACCAGGGCCAGGAACTTATTAGCTTGCGGACGGCCGCCAAGTTAATATCCGACAGCTTTACTCAGGCCTTCAACCGAACGCAGAGTCAATGTCCGGAAACGAGGTTAAAAGCGGTGGGCCTAACAGTTCAATTGTTTCTCATGCTTTATGCGCACATTTAGGGATGGGATGATACTATAGCGTCTACCGCAAATGATTGGATGAGCGTTATCGATGGATCTACATTAGGGTCATCTCGCCAGTAAGTTATCTGGCACACTTTTTCGAGTAGAGTGTCCAGAGCGTGTCCGTCCTTTTTGTTCTGCTTTCGTCAGTGGCTTCGGCCTTAGTGATTCAAGACCTTGGTTGCGCAGGGGCCTTGTGTGCGTATTGTGATACAACAAGTATGAAAAGCGTATGGAAGAGGAAAGTCAACCAGACTGAGCAAATACGAAACCAATCAAGTGCACACAGTGAGCTTAAAGTGCGAGTGATAGCGTCAGATTATGGCTGAGACTTGAAGGCTGTAGTAGTCTGGAGATTCCCCGGTTTTGCTGGGTAAATTTCTAAACAAAATCACTATTTCACTGTACACTTAGGCGACCGGTACGGAATGCTGAGCTGATTGCAGAGTTCGACATTTTGAGTTGAGCATCGTCATTTTTGCTTGGCGCTCGTTTCGGTTACAACGCTCTACTGCCTTCTGTGCTGTGCATTCTCCCTTCCCCCAGCTAGAGCGTCAGCGGCGTCGTTTTTGATAACTAGGCAACAGGGAATCTTTTGCTGCACTAATAAAAGTTCCCCTGTTGCCTGGTTATACAAAAGGACACGGTTGACGCTCTGGCTAAGGGAACGGAGAATGCACAGCACAGAAGGAAGTTGCGCGTTGCAACCGAAACGAGCGCCAAGAAAAATGTCGATGCTCAACTCAAACAATCGAACTTCGCAACCAGTTCAGCATTCCGCACCTGTCGCCTAAGTGTTCAATGAACTAATGATTTAGTTTAGAATTTTACACAGGCAACCCGGAGAATCTACAGGCTGCTACAAGGCAAAAACAACGACCTACAATAGCCAATAAGGATAGCGAAATGATGCGGTAAAACAAACTGCAGTGAAGCACCAGGGCAAAACAAAGTCTGTATTATTGTTGCTCCTCTAACAGTAAAGTAAATATTGTGGGGTACTAGTACGCAACACCGCACTCCACTACCGGTCTCAACTTAAACGAACTCGTGAAGCAAAGATAGCAGTATTATGACGCGAAACCAAGACACTGAGATGTTAGCAAAACTTTAGCCCTCAAGCTCAGAGCCGACTACTCATCTTTTGCATACAATATCTCGCTGACCGAAATGAGGGAGCTTTACTTCACATTTCAGCATTTGTTCCGGTAGGTGCTAGACCGTACAGGTGGAACTGGCCATCCAAACCCAAACGAATCGTTGAGAAACTCTCACGGAACAGCCAGTAGGTATCTACACCCCTTGTCGTTAAAGATGAATTAGACTATGTACATCACCATTCAAAAAGCTATTCAAAACTCATCAGCACAAAACTGAGGCGGGTGCACGCACGCTTTTATTTGTAAGAATATTTTCCTGAGCTCAAAAAAGCACTTATTAATTTTTAGCCATTTTTTGTCGTGTTCCAGATCTCTAAACTTCTGCTCTTCGGAAGATATTATTCCCTTTTTTCTATCATACTTTGGCTATGTAAACACAAAGCATTTCGTCTATCGAACCAAATCATGACATCCGGGCAAAAATGTCTCAGAGGCTTTACTATTTGCTGTGCATTGTCAAACGATTTGGAGGCAAATAAGAATGGGGTTATCAGTGTTGTTTTTGTGGCATAAGTTCCTTTACGATATTTATAGACTTGTCGTTATTCACTGAGAAATCGCATTTATTTTGTCCCAGTACAAAGTCTCTTCATTTTCTTGCAAACTATGTTTTAAGTAGCCTTAAAGCATCGAACACTTTACAACCCACCTTGTTTAACCGTGCCGATTGCAGCTTGCATTGTCTTTGTACGGTTCGAAGTTCGGTTTGACATTCATGTAGTTGCTTTTGTAAGAGCACATTTTGACTCTGTGCTTCAGCCAAGGCCAACTGACAAGTCTCCCAGCGGTCCACACCACTTTGTTGGTGGGAGAGGTTTCCGCGCCACCCTCCATTCTTTCCCCCCATTGATCTGGTGCCATTCGCTGGTTGGTTGGGCCTTGGCTGCCATCCATTTGTTTTTCTCGATGGGACTGTTTGAGTGTTCCCGTTGGACTCAGGTTGATCTGGAAGAAGATGGAAAGACTCGTGCCACGCAACACAGTTAAAGAGCCGTTCGCTTTTCTCGCACATCATAGACCACGTCTGAACACAAGTTGACAGTCACAAAACAGCGTAAGTGACCTCGGACAAACGCTCTGTTGAATAGTCCCGTCTATCTAAGTGCATTAGAGAGTAGTAGTAGAGAGAGTCTTACGAAGTTGAAAAGTCTGACCGCTGCTGGATTCAACTAGGCAGCCACCGCACATCCAGGAAGGCTCTAGGCGGCTGGTTTTTCTTATTGGGGCTCGTCAGGAGCGCGCACTCGCCAGATCCTGTCGGATTCGGAACCATGAATTTATTCGTACCAGCCAGTGACGGCGGCGGACTGCCATGACTGACATCTAGTTGTGATATAACATGGCTCACCCCCCATTCTCCTACATGTTATTAACGTGCAGAGGATATGTCTGAACCCAGAGCTACGACTTCCTTTGCAAGCCGCCACCAACCTACGTGACACATAAGCTGCTGGGACGGTTACTGATCATTAGAGTAGTATGGGAATTGGTTGTACTTTTTGGAGTATTCCTGGCAGCTAGACTCAGTCAAACAGCCAACACACATCCAGCAAAATGCTAGACGGCCCTTTCGTCCTAATGGGCATTGTAATCTTTAGGTCGTGAGTTTAGCTCGGGCATGATCCGACGGATACGCGCTATTGACCAATAGCAGTAGGAGGAACCGGTCGTCTTGCGTTTTCCTGGATGTACGGGCTGTCTGACTGAATGTAGTTGCCACGATCCATCTCAGAAATTTGTAAGCATATTGGATTTTAAATCGCAACAAGTAGTTGTTGAACTAGCGGTTATTGGTTAGCAGTTTGATCCGTGGTGACGAGGATTGTAATTTAGCTGAGTAATTCACCTACATAATAAACCGTATTAATGGCGGCCCGTATGTGGCTGCTACAACTACCGTAGGGCTTTTTGAATTCAGAATCGTCTACGTGCAGAGCTGACACTTCAGAATCAGAAGGGATTTTTCCATGGTCCAAGAGTGTATTGCACCCTACTATGAAAGTGCGACTTGGCTCATTCCGTTTCAAATTTTTGAACATGGTTGCTTGCGTAGTCCTGTTCGAGTTGGCTATCATGGGCGCACTGGAACTGGGTGCTAATTACCTCACAGTGCCATTTTTCTCCCTGTAGCGGCTCCACGCGCACTCCAGCCTCTAGATGGAATTCGTTATTTAAGCCCGGGAGAGAGTCTTTCAGAACAACCAGGATTTCTCTCTTTTGACGAGCACACGGCAAGATTTCACGCCAAGTGGTTCATGCATTACTGACCTGCTGGTGATGAGGCATGTGTAGTTGCATGTAGTGAACTAGGGAAAATCTATCGAGTTAATCCACATATATTTGAACAAAGTGTTCGACAAGGTGAACTACGAGGTCCTCGTCTACAAGCCGAGAATTTGCGTTATTAGGGGATCCTTGCACCGGTGAATCCACGAGTTTCTTGTTGTACAAAGAGGGAGGGTACAAGTCGGTGGCCATCTGAACTAGTGTTATTATTCGACCATTGGCGTACCCCAAGGTACGGTGCTGGGGCCTACATTGTTCCTGACTTATAACAACGATCTACTTCATCTGCCGTGGTTGCAGATGCCTTGCAAATGTGAAGACTGCCTAGCATTTCTGATCACTGCAATCTATTTCTGGTCTACAGAAGTCCGCTCCCAATTAACCCATACAAATCGGTGTTCTTGAGCTTGGGATGGGTGTTGACGGCTGAACTTTCACTGCTACATATCACGTCTTCTGTGAAGGACCTAGGAACACTCTCATGTTACGAATTGACGTCCGTGGACAACCCGGACAGGCCACATCGAAACGGAGTGCACATGCTGTGGGTTCTCAAACATATTCCGCATCTGGCCTGAGGTGCTTGCTACTCGCCTCTTCTTCTTCATCTTAAGATCAATGCTGAATCCAGCTCATCCGCCTATTGCTCCACCGCTCGAGAAGAGATGCAAAAGATTGAACTTGTCCAACATGTTGCTATGAAGCTCATCCGCAGTTTGCGGGGCCTAGAATACGAGGACGAGTGAGAGAGGCTTTTCGTCTGGTGCGAGTCGACCTCAGCACAGTTTACCGCAGTCGGCATCTTAGTGACTTCCCCATACTGAGGTCACTGCTGTATTTACAACTAGCTTGCAGCACACACGGACCCCAGCATCAACTTGTGCTTCCAAGTCTGCAGTGAGTTCCCCATCCCCTGTGTTTTGAACAGCTAGTGTTAAATATCTGGAACAGTTTGCAGTGGCATGTAGTGGAAGCAATCACAGCGCAACCATTCAGAAAATGGTTTAATATGTGTTTCACCTACGTTGGACTTTGAGAACGATTATTCATGGATATGTTACATTTGTGAGTTCCAAGTCACTGTGAATTGTAGTCTTTTTATTACAATATTACCTTAGAACTTGAAAAACCATCACGGTATTGCCAGGTCATAGATAGTTTTGTCTTTTAAGCAAGTTTTCGATCAAATTTCGATGGAATGGTTAAGCCGCAAATTTCTATTTGCTATTGTTATACAATATGCATTATCCACTGACAAGCATGAGTTTACGAATGATCGCTGTGATATGTTGTGCGACTGTGCTAGCCCCGAATCCAGGAATGTATTCACGCTTGTAATGATTCGTGCGCGTCGCCTGATCGCAAAGGTCGCATGTGACTGCCTGACTCTACGATGTTCGACATCCTGTTCATCCTGTTAATCCGTGCTCTCATACTCCCTCTATCATTAGGAAGATCATCAATACACAAGTTGTGGGTGAATAACACACCTCGGCTAATGTGCCGCAATACAAAAAGGGAAGCTACAAAATGATAGCTCGCAAGGAAAATGCAAAAGTGGCTAATATAATGTTAAATATTATATCATGCAATTCGTGTGAGGTCGGAATTGAAGGGGAACCTAAAGGGAGGGGGATGGACGAAGAAACTCACAATACAAACACCACTGGTGCCGGCGGTTCGTCCTATCAACAAGTGTGTCCAACCAAACGGGTTTATCGTCCTCAGGATCCCCTACAGGCAGTGGGGATGTACCAACCGAAGCCAACTTCGAAGTGGGCGTTTTCATTTCTCTCGACCAAGTCATCGCTTGACCTTCCTCCTCCTCTTCTAACCGCATTCCCGGTGCGTAAACAATGCACGTCACTGGAGTCTTTGTGCTGGCATGCGCAACACGTGGACCAGCCATCGGAGCCGGGTGTGTGATATAATGGGTCTGAGCGGTTCACTTCCACTTCCTGCACCAAATACGCAACGCCGAACACGCTCATTGCGCACTCGGTGCTCGCACCACATGTGAGCTCAGCTGTGAAAGGAGCGACGATCGAATGTGAATAGCCTCTTTATGTCCGTCGGCCAAATGGGCCAAGTTTCATAACCGTATAAGAGGGTTGTACGGACGGATGCATTGTAAACTCTGCCCTGCAGAGCGAGGTGACGTCGCGTCTGCATCACCGGTAACGGAGTTTGGCAACAGCACCTCGAAGTTTTGCTATATGATTCGTAATCTCATCTTCGATCCAACGGGCGATAATATATTTACCCAGGTACTTGAATTCTTGAACGACTTCTAGCTGATCACCACCAAGGGTCAGCGCAGGGGTGGGTTCCTGCCAATCTCTGAAAACTACTTTGCATTTCAATGCAGTAAAGCATAGCAGAAAATGATTGACAACCAGTGCTAATCGGTTCAATGCTGCTTGGCATGTTTGGGAGCTGTCACTGATTAAGGCAATACCGTCCGCATACTCGAAGTCAAGAAGTCGCTCCCCAGGTAGTAGCTTCACACCTTCTTGGTCATGTCCAGCAAATGCTGTCTCCATGACTTCTCAGTAGCACAGTTAAAGAGGAAAGGTGACAGCTAGCAACCTAGTCTCACACCACTGGAGATACTGCAGGGCGGCTACAGTTTGCCATAAAACTTCACTCTGCCCTAACTGTGAGCCTACAGCGCTTTGATAATCGTTACGTACTTATCGGGCACACCTTTTCTCAGCAGACAGTCCCGAAGGGCACATCGATCCGCCGAATCGAAGGCAACATTGCTGTCGAGAAACACGACTACGGTGGGTCGCGAATAAACATGGCGGTACTCCAACGATTGACGCAAGGTGAAGAGGTGATCGACGCAGTTTCGATTGCGACGAAACCCGGCTTGTTCTTTACGGTTTTGGCTTTCACGAGCGCCAGTCAGTCTACGGAGAACAAAAGGGTCTAGCAAGTTAGGTAATTGAGATCAGACTGATGCCCCGAAGATTGTTGCATTCCGAACGGGAGCCTACTTTGAAAATTGGGACTCTCTTCAGTCTGCGACTGCGTGTGGGATTGCTACCGAGTACTCGCGACACCGCTCAGCGCCGTCATTTCACGTATCAGGCTCCGATGGCTTTGCCACGTGTTACACATTCCAGTCCACCGGCACCCGCGTGCCGGGGATGTGAATGGAAGAAGTGGAGGGGTGGCCAAGCGATGACTTGGCCTAGAAGAATGAAGACCCATTGTTCGGAGCTGGCCTCGGTTGGAAATTCTTGGCTCTCTGGTTGGGGTCCGAAAGACGAGGAACACGTTTGGCTGGATACATTTGCTGATATGGCTAGGAGTCGACCTCTGTGGCGTTCGTCCTGTGTTTCTTCGTCCCACCCCAACCATCTTAGGCTCCCTCTCCAACCACGAACTCACTATATAGCCTTCTATACTTTTGTAATTGTAATGCTTTTTGCTGCGTAGTAGCCGGTTGGTAGCTTACCGGAACGATGCCTATCCGTTACCGGTAGCTCAGCCGGCTTGCTCCGGTTGCATTTCTCCCTTTTTTATTTTATATATTGCGGCACAGTAGCTGAAATGTTCCACACCTCTAGCTAACGTGTATGATGATGATACCTGCGACACTTGCGCCTACGTGCAATAGGCTGCGTAAACAAGGCGTATGTGCTTACTGT